CAAAGAGCATCCACCCTGAGGGAGGGGAAAACCTTGGGTTTTATAGAGGGATTTTTCAGGGAAAGTGAGCAACCTCCACAGAGACAGGGGAGAGGGTAGCTTCATCCTTATCACGGGGGTAGGAATGCTGGCATTGCGGCAGTTGTCTGTGGTCAGAGTTAGATTTACCACCTTGGATTCTCCAGACTCCTTAGGCTTTTGCTTCACAGGCTTTGTGATCACTATCTAAGTATTACATCCTATACTTACTTTTCGGGTTCCCACCCTAAGCCAAACTAACATTCCCACTTTTTCATATATATATATATATAAATTAAGCGTAAGTTATGAGAAAGGGAAAAATTAGAAAGACTGGGCAGTAGGTGCTGTTGTCTTTCTGACTGTTTTCTTGTTTCCTTTGTCCCTGGAGACTTGGTTATCTCTGAAACATAGTCAGGCCTATCGCAGGGGATGTGAATTTTGCCCCTGAGATATGGTTTGAGGCAGGAAATAAAGGCTTGGAGTTTACACCCCTGCTGTCTGTCTAGGAGTTTCTCAGGAATACCTTGAGGTTTTCAAGCAAATTTTAAAAACTGTGAGCTGAGGAAATGTAAGGATTTACATTTCTTTTCTGGGCTCTTTCATGTGTTTGTGAAAACAGTGTCTAGCAGTTTGCCTGCTACTTTGGGAGTGAGATAGCAAAGAGTAGGGAGAGCTCAGAATTACTTTTTAGCTGTTATTAGAAAATTAGGAGTCTCAGGGCCACCCTAATATTGCCCTCTTTTTTGTTAAAATTAAATTTCTGTGTAAAACAAACTCAGAAGTGGGGAAAATGTGGAGATATTTCTTCTGTAGCTACCTCAGGGTGAGAAGGAATGAAGAGAACTTTTTATGGAGCTCATTTATTAAACGTTCCATCTATAAAAATGTTCCAGACTTTGAGGTTGACTTCAGATTCAGAAAAAGCTATAGGAGATGGAAAGGAGTTTGTGAGAAGAAGAAGGGTGGTGTTTGGCTGCAGCTCATGGACAACAGGTGGTGAATAGCATGTAATTTTGAGAGGATATCTCTTCCTAATAGTGGGGTTGGGAATTGAAGGAGAATTAAAAATGAATGAGTGAAGATATTTTTGCCTAGCTGGCAAGTCAAAGGGGGGTTATTGGGGGTGGGTAATAAGGCCATCAACTCCCACAACAGAGAGTGAGGAGAGCTGGGTAGTTCCATGGAATTCTGGCAGGGCTGAGAATGCTGTCCCCTATTGATGAGGAAAGAAATTGATCTATCAGCCACCACCAGAGTTACCCAGGGATCTGATGCGGTGATTGGCTTGGGGGCTGTCCGTCCCAGGCACTGTCAGTCTTTTGTGGCCAGGCCTAAGAGGTTCAGTAGTGCGAGATCAGGACTGTCCAGTTCGTTGGGAGGAAGGGGTGTGGCGCTTTGCCTGGAAGGGCTAAGTTGCAGTTGACCTTCTGGTGGGCCCTCGTTCCACAGAGGGGACAAAGTTCTGGGGACGCTTGAGGGTTAGGACATTGTCTTGCCCAGTGGCCTGTTTGTTTACATTTGAAACATGGGCCTGGTGGCATTGTTGCCCCTTTTTCCAACTTGACTGAGGACGTTCTGGGGTTCTGTTAATAGCAGGTGTCAACATCTGACATTTAGTCTGGTCTCTATTTTGTTTTTGAAGTTGTTGCTACTCATCCCTTTTATTAAATACCTTAAAGGCGGTGTGTATGAGATCTCTTTGTTGGGTTTAAGGACCATCCTCTAACTTTTTAAGTTTTTGTCTAATGTCAGGTGTGGCTTGGGAGATAAAATCTATATTGAGAAGTAAAATTTCCTCAGTGGTAGTAGGGTCTAGGGTTGTTTATTTTTGTAAGGCCTCAGTGAGCCTGGATAGGAAAAGAGTTGGATTTTTATCCTGTCCCTGTGTGATTTCTTTTAGTATTTTATAATTCACTGCCCGGTGGGCAGACTTTTTCAGGCCTGTTAATAGGAATGTGATTATATGATCTCTCTTAGCCCATTCTTCTGTCTCCTCTTGGGTTTCTGTTTGATAAGCCCATAATAGGTCTGTTCTGGGAATGGCAGTCATCCCTACTGGTTGGGTGGGAGTGTGCCTATGAATTTCATGACCATATTCCTGGGCATTAAGCCAGACTTTCCTTCTCCTCAGGAGATAAAGCAGAGGAAAGAATTATATAGAGATCGTAATATCGAGATAGATATTCAAATTATTTGATAAAAGCATGAAGATCGGTTAGGAAGGAACCTAGTCTTTTCTCTATCTGGGAGAGAGCAGAAGGAGAGAAGGGAACATGTACTCACACAATGCCTTCTTCCCTGACCACTTCCCTGAGTGGGTATGAGCCTTGTGTGGTGGAATCTGTGGGTCCTGAGATCTGGGCAGAGAAAGAGCAGGTATTAGAGGGGAAATAGAGCAGGCAGGGAGGGATTGCTGAGTGGGTTTAGGTAGCAGTGCAGGAATTTTATATGGGGGAGGACTGAGATCTGAAGCATTAGGATCTGTAGTTTCTGGTGGTTTAGGGCTGAGGGGGTAAGTTGGGAAGGGGGTCTAGTGTGTAGTAGAAAGACTTGTGCTAGATTTCAATTTTGACAGAGAGAGGATCATGAGTGGAGAGTAAAGAAGGCTTGGATATAAGGGATTTTGGATCATTTGCTATTACAGTGACTATAATTATCCAGATCTTGTAGTAAAGTCAAAAGTTCCATTTTCAGGCCACTGAGAGTTATTATTTAACTTATATTGTGGCCAAGCTGTATTATAGTAAAAGATAAGTCATTTTGGCCAAATTTTATCAGTGAGACCTAGTGTTTTGAGGCTTTGGAGAAGGCACTCCAAAGGTATGGTTTTAGGAGGAATGGACTGAGAGCTTCCCACATTCCTGGAAAGAGTAGGGGTCCCACGGGGCTGATTCTACTCAATTCTAGATGTCTCTAGAATGAGGAAATGGCACAGGACTGATGGGTGAGCAATGAGCATGAGCGAGGAGTTGGAACAAGCGTCCCTGTGTCCAACGAAGGCCCCAAGGGCTGAGAGTCCTCCAGCTTACTGGTAGGAATTTTGAGTCAAGATGAGTAAAGAAGAACAAGAGGGATAGGAAAACGAGTTTGTGAGCTCCCCACTCACCAGGAGCAGGATATCTCAGGGTGTAGATTTTAAAGGTAAGTAAGGAAGATCTGAATCCCAGTTTGGTGTCTGCCTCACAGCTTGGTTGAGGAGAGTCCAGGCGGACAATTACCCCACCCCAGCCAAGCTAGAGTCCTCTGCCTGTACTCCAGGATCAGAGACAAGTTAGAGGCCCCTGCATGGCTCGGGACTTCTCCCAGCCATGTCATCAGAGACAAGGGAGATTACTAGCTCCAGGGGACTTTTGATCTACCAAGGAGACTGACCTCTTTCAATTTAGTGAAAGATTTATGGAAACCTTACTAGTGACCCAGGGACTCAGAGGAAGGCAGGATTTGTGAGCTGTCCCAGGATGAGCTGCCACTGCCTACTGCTTCCTGAGTTGCAAGCCTTGCCAGCTAGAGTCCTGGAGGTCATGTCCACCCAGTGTGCCCTCCCCAGTTTTTGGCAACAAATGTTAGGTCTGGAGCGGAGAGGAAGATAAATGAAGGTTGAAATGTAGCAAAATGCTGTTTATTTTGAGCATCTGGGTGCAGATGGGTAGACACCAAAAGAGCATTCACCCTGAGGGAGGGGAAAGCCTTGGGTTTGATACAGGGGTTTTTCAGGGAAAGTGAGCGACACCTGCAGAGATGAGGGGTGGGTAGCTGAGTCCCTGTCAGGAGGGACAGGAATGCCGGTGTTGCTGCAGCTGTCTGTGGTCAAAGTTAGATTTACAACCTTGGATTCTCCAGACTCCTGAGGCTTTTGTTTCACAGGCTTTATGATCACTATTTCAGTATTACAAGCTATACATACTTTTCAGTTTCCACCCTAAGCCAACATAACAAAAGGTATTTGACAACAGCAATCATCAGGAAAATTCAAATCAAAACCAGAACAAAATATCAGAAAGAAGAGAGATAACATGTGTTGGCAACAGTGTGGACAAAAGAAACCCTATACACAAAATACTGGGTATCAATTGCAATATAGTATATGCTCAGCAATTATAGGCTTCCTAATGACATAGTATGTTGCAGAATTCTACAAGGGGAGTAGATAAAATATATTATAGTTGAGGAATCTGGGCATAAAGAATTTAAATTTATAATCTTAATATCATTCCACTTAATTTTTTTATATGAAATAAGTTTTCTTATGTTTAGGAAGATGCTATATGTTCTTAGAAATCTGAAACCTCCATAGAATTGGAAATTAAAAAGCAGAAAACATGAAACCTCTGTCCCCAGTGATTCTGGGGTTTCTGAAACAAATCCCAATATCCCCACTATTCCCCTCACACCTTTCAGACATGAAACAAAAAGGGAACTTAAAAGTGGAGCTGTGCATGGTCACTCACACCTGTGATCCCAGCACTGTGGGAGGTCAAGGTGAGAGGATTGTTTGGAGCCGAAATTTTGAAGCCAGCCTCAGTAACATAAGGACATGCCATCTCTACAAAAAAATTATCTGGTCATGGTGGTACATGCCTGTAGTCTTAGCTACTTTGAAGGCTGAAGTGGGAGGATCACTTGAGCACAGGAGTTTGATGTTGCAGTCAACTGTTAACAGGCACTGCACTCCACTTGGGACAACAGAGCAAGACATTGTCTTAAAAAATGGTTTAACATAGAGCTCTTTAAAAAATGTACAGATATTCACATATCTGTAGTCACTAGTCCCTCATAAGCTATGAAAAGACCATGGCTCTCACTGAATTCTAAGAAATATCGCCACAGGAGCGGTACAGTTCTTAGAGGATTTAAGAGCATGGGACGGAAGATGTCCCTCTATGTGAGGAAGTGAAACATACTCAGGCTTCTCAAAAAACATGTCTAATGGAACAGAGCTTCCCAAGACACTTTTAAAAGTTTGGCTTCTTTCAGACCTCTCACCTCTGTTATCTGCTTCACTCAATCTCACCTACCTGGGTGTTTAGCTGTTGTATCCTCTCTCTTCACACTCCAAGGCTCTTTCCTTTGCTCCAGACATGTGATCAGGTCTGGTTTAGAGTCAGCAAGACCTGTTTTATTATAAATAATTCATATTACTCTTGCTGGGGATTCTTCAATTACTAATCTAGTACTGCCCTTAGTAGAGAGAACATTATAGAAGAGTCTAGAAAATTATTTCTCAAAATATTGTTTCCTGACAGTCCCTTTAGAATGAGAAGAAAATATTTCAAATTTATGGCTCCTGAGTACCACTTTCCACTACCAGAAAATAAAAAGTAAGTTGTAGAAATTAGGAAAGATGCAGGCAACAATTCCTGTAGTCTGAATTTCTAGAGTTACCAATAATCTAAAATGAAAGATACAGATAAGCTCAAAAAGGGGAAGGTTTAAATCAAGATGAGACATCTAGAGATTTTCTATTATACACCAAAAATTCTCCAAATTTTCTTTCAAAGCAGGGATCTAAAACTCATCATGTGATGTAGAAACTCCCAAGAAACAGTCCACAAAAGAAGAAAATGAAGCCCATAGTGTGGAACAGAAATTGTGTATTGAAGTAATCCTCACCCAGAGGGACCAGGTTTCTGTAGTTCTCTAACATCACATCCCTGTACAATTTCTGCTGAGCATTGTCAAGACATGCCCACTCTTCTGGAGAGAATTCTATAGCCACATCCCTGAATGTCAACTCTTCCTGAAAAAGAAATACATATTTACCAAGTGGCCATGAGTGGAGTTCTAATTTGACTTCAGGAAAAATGAAAGTTACAAGAACTATTTCTGACACATAAGTGACTATAATTATCAAATACAATTTTTAAAAAAACACAGTGATATTATTGAAAGTATGTTTTAAGTCAGAGGAGGGAAGATGCACACAATATCTGAAACTATTGTATATATAATACTTTTCTGGATGATTAAATATAAAATTAAGGGCATCAACACAGATACATAAATTTGAGTGTTATATTTACATCATACAGGATAAGTTGTCTATATTTCATGATAGAGAGATATGGTGAGTTAGAAGATATCTTCCAAATTTTAATGTGTACAACAATAAACTGGAGACCTTGTTAAAATGCAGATTCTGACTCCGAAGATCTGATGTGAGGTCTGATCTTCTGCATTTCGAGCAAGCTCACCAGTGAAACCAATGCTTCTGACCCAGGGAGAATATTTTGTCAAATATCCACCAAGTGGTAGACTTTGGGTTTATCACAGTTCATCTGACCAGTAAACAAAGTTGAGAACCTTCATTTTTCAAGGCAACCTATAAGTAAAGAAAAACTGAGAAGAAAGGGAAGCTTCCAGATTAAACACGATGGCTTATGCACATCAGTCAGTAAATCTTCCCAATACACTTATTAAAGAAAATGATGTAGTTTATGATAGAAGAATCTGTCAGAGAGCACATTCACCATGTAAATGAAATTAACTTGATTTTTTTACATTTTTTTTATTTCGGCATATTATGGGGGTATAGATTTTAAGGTTTCAATAAATGACAATTCCCCCACTCCCCCTACAACTCTGAGTCTCCAGCATGACCATCCCCCAGATGGTGCACATCTCACTCATTATATATGTATATACTGCCCCTCCCACCTGCCCAATACCCTATTAATGTAGTCCTATGTGTCCACTTGGTCTGCTAGTTATACAATTTGCTGGTGTTATATGTGGTGCTTGTTTTCATTCTGGAAACTTCATTTAATGTATGTTTCCAGCTACTCAGCAAATATAAGATGTGCTTATCACCATTGTTCTTAGAGCTGATAGTATCCGTGGAATATATATACCACAGTTATTAATCCATTCTTGGATTGATGGGACTTGGCTTTTTCCTGTCATATTTGAATTGTGGCTACCTATAAACATTCGAGTGCAGTGTCTTTCTGAGAGTGTAATTGATCTTTGGTAGATGCCGCATGGATTGGCTGGATCAAATGCAGATTCACTTGTATCGTTTAAGGATCTCCATATTGCTTTCCAAGAGGTTGAACTAGTTTGCAGTCCACACAGCAGCGTAGGAGTGTTCTCTCTCTCCGCATCCGAGCATTTTTATTTGGAGACTTTGAAAAGGCATCTTCACTGGAGTAAGTGATCTCATGTGTGATTGCATTTCCCTGATGATAGAGATGTTGAGCAATTTTTATATTTTGTTGGCATTCTCTGTCTTCTTTAGAATATGTTCAAGTCCTTTGCCCACTTTTAATTGGTATTTGATTTTCTGCTGATTACGTGGTTAAATATCTGTACAGAGATGCATCAGATAACAAATTTTCTCCCATTCTGTAGGTTGTCTGTCTTTCGACTATTCTTTGGCTGGTAAAGCTTTGTTACGTTTGATCATGTCCATTTATATTTGTGCGTGCTTCCGTGGCTTCTTCATAAACTCTTTCGCTAGGCATGTCTAGGAGATGTCCAAACATCCCCCTCTAGGAATTCTAATATTCATATTCTTAGGTTTACTGTTATCCAGCGTAGTTGATTTTTGAGAGGTGAAAGGTGTGGTCTGAGCCTCTACAGTGGGTTCCCAGCACCATTATGAAAGGTCATTTTCCCCAGCGTATGTTTTTGTCATGCTTGTCAAGATTAGATGCTATATGAGATGGTTTTATACAGATCTACATCTTTCCATGGTAATTCTCTATTTGTGCCAATCCCATATGATTTAATTACTACTTTGTATATAGTTGATATCTGCGATATAATGGCTCCATTTTGTTTTGTGTATTGCTTTTGATATTCGGGTTTCTTTGATTCATACGAAGGTAAATTTTTTTTCTTATATCTGTGAAGAATGCTGATGGGGCTTTTAATGGTTATGATGAATTGTAGACCATTTGGGTAGTATTGACATTTTGATGATGTTGGTCTGCCTATCACGATCTGGTATGGATTTCCTCTGTTACACTCTGTATTTCTTCCTCGTGTTTCATCAGTTTCCTGTGAGGCTTTTACCTCCTTGTAAATATATTCCCTAGTACTTTATTTCTTTGTGCTATTGGTGGAAGGATTGGTCTTTGTTTGGGTCTCATTAGTGTTGTTGGTGTATATGAATGCCTCTATTTTCTGTTATTGATTTTGTATCTGAGATTACTAATTCATTGATCAGTCAGGAGTTCTTGTTAATCTTTGGGTTTTAGTATAATATTATTCATCAGCAACGTGAAGTTGATCTCTTCTGCCCTTTTGGATACTTTAATTCATTTTTCATTGTGCTTGCTGTAGCATGACTTCAGTACTATATTGACAGAAGTGGAGATAGGGACGCCTTGTCTGGTTCATTCTAACTGGAATGATTTCATTTTCTCCCATTCAGTATGATGTTGGCTAGCTGGCTGTATATATGGCTTGTATCATTTTAGTAAGCCCATTCTTATGCTTTTTGTTGGCGTTTTATCTAGAAAGGTTGTTGAAACTTGTCAAAAGCTTTTGCTCAGTCTATAAAGAATCATGTGTTTGTTTTTGTCTGTTTATGTGGTGAATTGCTTATGATTTACTTATGTTGAACCATCCCTGCATCCTGGGATGAAGCCCACTTGGTATGATGGATTATTTTTGATAAGCGTCTGGATTCGGTTAGGTAAGATTTTTTTGAAATTTTGCATTATATTTTAGGATATTGTCTGTAGTTTTTTTTTTGTTGCATCTTTCTGGTTTGGAATCAGAGTAATATTCTTCATAAAAGGTGTTAGGAGGTTTCCGTTCTTCTCGATGTTTGGAATAGTTTCTGCAGTAGTACTAGTTCTTCTTTGTAATGTGGTAAGAAAGGTGTGAACACATCTGGACGGACTTTTCTTTTCAGGGAGATTTATAATTGCTGTTTCTATTTCAGCTCTTGAGATTGGTCTTTTCAGGGAATCTATTTCTTCCTGGTCGAGCCTAGGGAGGCTGTGTGTTTCTAGAAATTTGTCCATTTCCTCTACATTTTCCAGTTTGTGTGCATAAAGATTTTTGTAGTATTCATAAGTTATTCTTGTATTCTTTGGGATCAGTTGTGATATCTCTTTTTGTTCCTGATGGAGCTTATTAAAGATTTCTCTTTTCTGCTTTTCGTTAGTTAGCCAATGGCGATGTCATTTTGTTTTTTTTTCAAAGAACCAAGTTTTTTTTATTAATTCCAGAATAGATTCCCTGTTTCAATTCGCTTAGTTCTGACTTGATCTTGTGATTCCTTCTGCTGTTTGGGTTGGTCTGTTTGTTTCCTCTTTGAGTCGTTCATTAGATTGTCTATTTGTGATCTTTTTTTTGGTTATAGGCATTTATAGATAAACTTTCATCTCGAAACACTTTAGCTGTGTCAGAGGATTTGATAACTGGTTCTCCATTGTCATTTTGTTCATAGAATTTTTATTTCCATTGATTTGTTTCATTTATGAAGTATATTTAGTAGGGAGTTGTTATTGCCATTTTTGTGTAGAAATGTGAGTTTCTGTTAGGTTGATTCTACTTTTTTCCTCTGTGATCGAGAAAGTACATGGTATGATTTTTATTTTTTAAATTTCTTGAGATTTACTTTGTGTCCTAGATATGGTCATCTTAGAGAATGTCGTGAGCTGATGAGAAGACCTATATTCAGCGGATTTGGGTAGAATGTCTGTAAATGTCAGTCAGACCCAATTGTTCCAGAGTTTTGTTTAAGTCCATATTTCTTTATTAATTTCGTTTGAGGATCTGTCTTGTGCCTCGGTGGTGGTTTAAAATCTCCGGTAGTTATGGAGTTGCTATTAATCATTTGCTTGATCGTAAGATTTGCTTTATGAAACTGCGGTGCCCCTAAGTTGGTGGATATATATTTAAAATTGTTATCTCTTCTTGTTGAACTGGCCTTACATTATAATGGACCATCTTTGTCTTTCAAACTTTTGTTGGTTTAAAACTAATCGTCTGAAATAACTAGTACTGCGCTCCCAGGCCTTTTTGGCTCCCACTTGCTGGTATAACTGATCTCCACTGCTTTTACTTTTAGTCTATATGATTCTTGGCAGGTTAGATGTGTTTCCTGAAGACAGATTACTTGGCGTATTTTCTTATCCATTGAGCCACCTATGTCCTCTTGATGGAAGTTTAAGCCATTCCATTTATTGAGAGACTGATAGGTAAGAAGATTATTGTATTCTGTTGGCTTGGAGTCGTTGCTTGATTTCTCTCTGAGCCATTGTATTACCTGGCCTTTAATCTTTGGGTTTTGTGTTATTTTATATTGTGTTTTTATATGGTGTTTCACGTAACACTGTTTTGAGTACTTCTTGTAGGGCTGGTCTTGTCTTGGTGATTCTGAGACTTTGCTTTCTGAGAATGTCTTTATTCTCCTTCATATATAAAGCTTAGTTTTGCAGGGATAAGAATTCTAGGCTGGCGTTGTTTTGTTTCGAAGGATGAGAATGGGGCCAGTCTCTCTTTGCTTGTAAGTCTCTTAGAGGTCTGTGTTATTCGAATTGGCTTTCCTTGTATCACTTGCTTCTTTGTGTTATAGCTCTTAGAAGGGCCTCTTAGTTGATTTTTGGTCAGTTGTTACTGCATTCGTGACGCTCTCTGTTGCATTGATCTCAGAGGTCTCTGGCTTCTTGAACTTGTATATCGAGATTTTGAGCAAGGCCTGGGAAATTTTCCTCTATTATATCTTCAAATAGCTTGTCCAACCCTTGAGTGTTGTCTTCTTCCCCTTCTGATAACCCTATGACCCTCACATTAGGTTTCTTCACATAATCCCACACATCTCTTGTAGGCTTTGTGCTTTTCTCTTGTTTCTCTGCTGTATC